TGTCACCCGTCGCAAGCGGGCGTCCTGTCGACTGTGGACGGTGACACTCGTGTGGCCGAGGTCCTTCTTTCGCCGCGAATCCATGCGATACAGGACGTTGGCTTGCCAGGTAAGCAAATATCGCTGCGTCCTCATGCAGCAAGCGAGCTTGGGTCTGCGGCGCTTTCGGACGCGCCCGCTGCAACGCTGGCCAACGGCATGCAGCAGTTTCCCAACACGATTGCTTCGACGCTCATGGCCAAGTGCGATGCGTTTGGCGCACCGGTCATGCACCGCCACAATAACATGGAGGCTGACAGAGGCATGCTGGCGCACCTCGGCGCGTGCATGGAGCACTGCGCCAAGACAGAGATCCTCTCGCGCGACCACGTAATTTCGTCATGAGCTTATTTCTCTCGGTTCGTATCGCCAACATGCAAGACCCGAACCGCAGGACGACGGACGCGATGCAAGCGCTGCAGTCGATGATGTTTGTGCACTTGATCGCCATTGCTTGCGCTTGTGATGTCCATGCTTCTGCGCGGCTTGACAGACCGCATCTCGGAGACGAAGAAGGCTGCACTTATTTTCGACAACACGTGCTCGACGGTCAACGACGCCAAGGACCTCACGCTGTACCTCGACACCATCTGCAGACGCTGCTGCTCGCTCGATTCCTGAGTGCCGCACGGTTTCGTCCAAAGCCCGTGGTATGCTCGTCAAGGGCCAGAGCCACTTCCTGCACCTCGTGCCACGGGCAGCAGGCCATAAAGTCGTTGGCGGTCGACGATCGAGCGGTCAGGTTCGGCCAAGGGTCTCTGCGAGGTGCTCGTGCACCTTGGCCCGGCCGCGCTTGATCTCGAGAGGCTCTCCAACGAGTCAGACGGTGTCCGCGACGTTGCCATGCACGCTGGTTCGATCGTCGTCAATGCCCACGCGCTTTCCAACTTGCTTGCGCTCGAGGCCGGTATCTTCGACGACAACTGGCGCATTCGTGAGTCGCCGATCTCGCTCCTTGGCGACTTGATGCACTGTGTCATGCCCGAGGTTGGCCCGATCCTGCGCGCGGGCCTCGACCCGATGGACCCCGCCGATATGCGCCAGGGCTACTGCTTGGGTCTTGCCGAGGTCATCCAGTGCTCGCCCAAGAATCAGCTTGAAGATTTCGTGGAGATATTTGTCGTCGAAGACGCTCTTTGCGACGCACTGCCCGAGGTCCGCCGCGCGGCCGGTGATGCGTTTGACGTCTTCCACAAGGGCATGGGCTACCGCTCGATCGACGAGCTCATTCCACGCCTCCTCAAGCGTATCACGTCGGTGTACGACCTCGTATCACGTCGGTGTACGACCTCGTCCAAGAGTGCTCAAGGTCAAATCGCGCGACATGCGTCCGTACCTCGCACCACGCTGCTCACAACGCCAACGGCCTTGTCCAACATCCAAGCGATTGTGTCCGTCTCGGGTGCAGTGCTGCATTGCGACATATACCGCCTCCGCAAATCAGCACGTTCAACCTCTCTCCATCACTAGCGACTTGTAGTGGGCCGTTGAAAATAATCCCAGCATTCTCCAACATTTTCTACATTTTGGCCATGCACCGCTACGGCGGGCGTGAGGTTTGTCGATCCCAAATCGAAACTTTTGCAACCTTCTCCAATCGCTGTGATATTTTCAGGGACGCTTTCTCTAGCTCGAGAGAGGCTGTATGCCGACGCACGTGGCTATCAAAGGCCTGCAAGTATTTGTTTTGAAACTCACCAACAATTGCTGTTTTATTCCAACATAAATCAGCTAGATATTCAACGCGAGCCAATACATGATGCTTTGAGTCGTGGTGCTCGTTCCAGTGAGTAACGGCAAGGCCGTCGTTGCGGACCATTGATGTCCCTGGCATCTCTGTGTGGCTCGGTGATTACAAAGACACGTGTCTTGCCGCCGTCAGTACAACGTAGAGCGTGTCGACATTGGCCGCCAGCAGTCTGCCATGGAGGACAAA